TAGGCGTTTCTACTCATTTCCCGTTATAGTAACCACATACATCTTTATCGACTTTTCGCCGCAAGCCTGCTACTGTGGGCGTAACTTGGCCAATAGTTTTGGGGGGGTGAAAAGGGTTTCTGCCCTGCAAAAATGAGTGGTGCCCTGCAGACCTCGTAGCAACGGTTTGTCTATAGGTTACTAGTGAAAGCTTTACCAGTGTACACTGGTCTTTACCATGGACAAACTTCTAAGCAATAAAAACAAACTTGAAACTTCATTGCCTATGAAATTTTTATTTCTCTACGTGAGCGTAATTTTTTTTTAAATTCACTTCATTTAACGTTGGTTTGCAAAATTAAGCTAATAAACAGCTAATTGGGGGGGGGAGGTACATGATGTAGACAGCGCAACGAAATTTAGCCCAGTGGAGCTAAGAGTCGAGTTTAGTGAGGTAGGAGGACCCACCATGGTTGGGTCCGACGTGAAGAAATTTTTTGAAATTATATGTTGTAAAAGGGCTAAAAAGCATCTTTCAGACAAAAATTTACCAAATTACTATTGTGCTAAAAGAAGTGATAGTTTATTGAAAATATTATTGTTTATTGGGAAAAATAGGGAGGGGGATGTCATGCTAAAACTCTAGTGTTAGACGTTGGGGAAGGAAAGAAACGGCAACCTTTCGTTTCAGATTGCACTTAGTTGTGAATGACAGAAGGAAGATGTTGTTTTGATTGGGAGAATTTTTTTTCCTGAACAGAAATGTGCAGTTTCTTGTATCAAGAAGGCCATGTTTACACATCCAAAATTAAAACATTGCAATGATACAGAAAATGATTTACTGAATTAATGCAAATAAAAGAAAAATAATAAAAATATACGTGAAAAAGTTAGCAATTAGATGAAACGGTATCTTAACGATTTATTATGTTTTTTAGTTCATGCACTGTTAAAAAGTAATAGAAAAAATGATAAAAAAAATTTCTATCTTGACCAAAGTGAGGGACTTCAGCCCTTTATTCCCCCCCCCCAGTGAAGCCGTGCTTGTCATGAAAATAATTTACAACTTAAATTAATTTGCATGACTCAACCTTGCCCTCATAAACATATGCATCAATCATTGCATCCATTGGCTATGACTTTCGGTAAGAAATGCTTTCGCTTTGCAAATAACGGAGCTTTTCCTTACATACCTGTTCCGTTCTCTAAAATGCAATGTCAGGAAGGGAGGTTCATAACAAATACGATATTTCCATTTCAAAATTCCTAAACGGCTTTTTACGAACTTCAGAGGTGGCATTTCTGCGTGGCAATAAAGCTCTTCTTGGCGCCCTGCGAAATCTTCGATTGCCCTGCGAAATCGACTATTTTTTTGATTGGGGGGGTGTCACACCCCCCCACACCCCCCCGGTAGTTTCGCCCCTGCCTGAATGTATTTTAATGTTGCATCAAGAATGTTTGTATTTGAATCAAAAGGTAACTTTTCATGGCCATTAGCAGTGATTGTTAACAAAGGGACTTTCGTTGTCAGAAATAATGTAGCATCTTTGTCTGCGTTCGCGGGATAGCCTAGATCTTTTGATTTATCTAAACTCCAGTTCATTTTATGAATGTGTCAGTAACTCGTTCTTCGAGTTAAGAATTTAAATAATAACATTTTTATTAAAAATTAAAAATATTTTACTCTATATTTTTCCATAAAACGATTTTTCAACATTTTAATAATAGGAGTTGAGGCATTTCACTATTTTAACAAATAAAAAGAGGTGCAACTGAACTCATGGTACCTGCAACGTGAAATAATATTGAAATTCAATATTTTTCTAAGCTATTGACTCAAACTCCTTAAACCCGTCAAAATTCTTCATTAACTAGCAACGTGCTCTGTTCCTCGACCATTCTGGCATGGCACGAGCAAATAAACTCCATTGGGTTATTTGGTAAGCTATAAGATATTGAAATGCAGTCTTGTCTGATGCGAGTAGTACAAACAGTTTTGGCATAATGCTTTGTAAAAAGTCCGAACGTCATAAAGTCATTAGAACGTCATAAAACAAATCAGCACGTGAGAGTGAAAGTCGAACTCAATGGGGAGGTGTCCAGTTCCTCTTTTTAGGACATCTTTCATCTGCCCACATGCTTACAAGTTTTCCATTGAAGAGTTATCTGCGAAATGGCGAAAACTTCACGCTTTTGAAACTGAATTTAGTTGAAAGGAGGGTTCAAATCCCTACAACCCCAATAGCCAGGGCCGCCGAGAGTGGGGGCAAGGAAGGCAAACTTCCTCAGGGTATAGGGGGCCTCGTAAAGCATTAAGTTCCATTATAAGAATAGAATTAAGAAAACTTAACAAAGGTTTGCCTAAAAAGTAAAACGTTTTGAACGACTGCAAGAAAATGACTGCAAAAATGATCTGAAATATATTTAAAGGAAATCTAAAGGGCGTGGTCAGAAAATTTTCTGCTAGCAAGGGGCAGCACCTTAGGATTTTGCCTCAGGGCCTCCAAATCCTTGCAGCGACCCTGCCAATAGCTACAGCCTTCTGAGCGGTTAAATGACAAATTCACTGATTGCAAGGCAAAGGCAACAAGACTAAAATCAATTACACTCTTTTTTTAATAAGAACCAGTAAATTTGAATTCAAGCCGACTGTTCTTAATTTTTTCGAAAATCTGAGGTTGGATTGTTCTTAATTTGTTCTTAATCTTAATCTAAGTGTGTAAGCAGTGCTATTGCTAGCTTTTTCGCTTTAAGGAGGTGTTCAGGCCTCATTTGCCAACAAAATGAGCGAGACCGCCTTAATTTGCTGAGAAATCTGAATATTCACCGAGAATGCACCCACACATTGCTAAAAATCCTTGGTTTTGAGAAAAAACTTTGTTCAAAATTGCATTTTGCAGAAGCTCAGCCTCAATTTGTTCTTAATTTTTTCTTAACTTTTGACTAATTTTGAGGTTCGTGTTCTTATAAAATCGTTCTTATAAAAAAATGTACAGCCATAAGTCTGATATAAAGTAACGCGTATACTTTATATGGGCTGTTTGTACAATATTATTTATTTGTATACCCTTACCTCCATATCCTAAATAAAGATATACAGATGGCTTATTTGGACGTACAGGACGTAGCCATTGTTTAACCGTTTAACGTATACGTGTACAAGTGCTCTTACAGAATAGGGCCAGAGATCTATTAGGTTAAATTAATACAGATATCCATTGTTTTGTGGTCCAAACGTATTTCAAGGGCTCTTGACGAACAAGAAAATCTAGCTGACCACTCGCCGATTCGCTTTTCAACTTTGTTTTATAATTTCGGGAGTTTTCTCAGGTTCACATCGACCTGACAAGGGTGCTTAAAAGGGGAATGGTAATTACAGAAACAGCATTTGCTTTGTGTCACTCACAATTCTTGAAGGCGGTCAGATAAATAAAAGGCACGTCTGGACAAAATATTTTACTCTGAAACACGCAAAACCTCTTGGGGAGACGAGTCTAAATTGTCATTGTTAAGGCTATAATTCAATCCAAATGTCTAAACCAATAAGACAGGGCATTCGCATTAGGGTGAAATCATCATTTAAGCATATGCATTAGGATGAAATCAAAATTTACTTCCAATGGCGCTTCACAGCATTTAATCAAAACTTTAAATCATAGAGCTTGCAGGTGCATTCGAGCAAATGCTGGTCCTTATCTCCAATGAGAGTATCCATTGCTTTCGAGATATTCAAATCATTTTGCAAAGAACCGGATGCAGGTGTCTTTATGACGTCAGCTAAATGAAATTAGCGCGCTTTTCTGTTTGATGTTTGATTTGCATAACCTTCTGCTTGGATTATTATGCGGTGTAATTAAGGTGCTCCCTTTACACGTTATCCAAAATATTTGCGATAAAATTCACAGCAATGGCTTTAAAGTGAACGCACTAAATGGAAAGTTTGCGCAGCTGATAATTACGAAACACAGAATTTCTTAAATTAACAACGTATTTGCATCAGATTAGAGAATACCCTGAGCAAAACTTGTCTGGATCCAGATTATCAAAGACATTTGCTTGTCTTTCCTCTATCAGTGATAAACTGAATTCAACAACAAGACGTAGTAGCGTATAATTTGTGATAAATGAGATAAATGGATTGCATCCACGACGACGTAAACTGTACCTGGCCAAAAGAGGAAATTTGGAAACTTTCGATAGTGAATCTGACAATATTTTTCATTTTGGATGGCATCATTGAACTGCTTGCCCTTGTTGCAAATTCTAGCTTCTTATTCATACTAGTGAAACAGAAGTCTCTCCATTCTCCATCGAACATGTTGCTAGGAGCTTTATGTGTAGCAGATCTTGCTATTAGCTTGGTTCTCCAGCCCGTTTTCCTGACACATCTTTCGCTATTTTTCACTGGAGGAGAAGTTAATCAAACCATCCAAGATGTGCTCGATTTGCTATTCGACGTATTTTTCGGTTTGTCATTTACTTTCATCATTTTGATAAGCCTAGATCGATACATCGCCATTTGTCATCCGTTCAAGTACCAGGCCTTGGCCACATGCAAGTCTCATTTGCTTATTTCGTTTGCATGTGGAGTAGTTATTTCAGGATTATTCAGCCTTGACTACTGCTTGTCAATAAAGAGTCAAGAGTCTTTGATGAAAGATCACATTACCTCTACACTAAGGGTCGTCCACTATGTCATTCCTGCCATCGTTATAATTTTCTGTTATTGTAAGATTTATTTGGTCATCAGGGCGCAAAGTAAGCGTCAAATTTCGATTGGTACTATCAAAGACTCTGAGAAAATTGAAATTTCGAAAAAAAGAAGCGAGAGACGAAAGACTGGAACCATAGCTTTGATTTTAGTCTGTTTCTTTGCATGTTACGCACCAAATTTCATTTTGGTTCTGATCATTTTGCTTGGTACTGTTAATATGGACACAAACACTATGGAGACTGCATGGCTCTGGACAAGCTTCACATTACTCTTGACAAGTCTTCTAAACCCGATTGTATACTACTTAAGAAGCAGAGAAATAAGGCAGGCAGCAAGAAAACTTTGCAAAAGATCGTCGCCAGTCAATTCAGCTACTTAAGTTTGAAATACTTCGTCAACCCATGCTTCCAATATCAAAGGAACTTGGTTACGGCATCAAAACAAGCTGTTTAACGAAGTAAATGTAAACATTGTAGAAATATACCATGGAACTCCGAGGCTGAGAGTTGCTAAAAGTTTAGCTGCGTTCAAGGGCAGACTTTGTTTTGGTAAGTGTCTTGCTTCAAGATTTGGACAGGTGACGAGTTCCAAGGGAGGCAGTCTTCTTGAGCGAACATCCTTTGAAACGTACGTCCTCAATCATCGTTAGCTAAGAGAAGAAAATTGCAGTTGCATCAAGAAAAAAGTTTGGTCACGCAAAGATAGCTTCGTCACTTTTTCCAGTCAATGATGATGGCGTGGAGGCCGTTGTGTTTATGAGCTTCCACAACGCATTGAAGTCAGCCGAATGTAATTGTCAAGAAATGCGGAAAAGAACACATTACAAGATGTTTACCTACCAAGAATATGAT